GAATCTCTGCTTTAGATGATATCAAGAAGCAAACCTCCAGCTCTGTGAAGGTCCCGGTTGTCTTCTGGAGGATGGCGTACATACAGTGCACCACCGTCACCGCGTGCTTCCAGTTGTGGTACGGCACACGGCGGTAGTTCTTCCGTACGGACATGGTGAACCTACACAACTTCTCCAGCTCAAAGCTACGTCCCAAACAAAAGAAAAAAAAAACAGAAACAAAAAAAAAGTGTTAACGCTTGTTCAATAAAGCGAAGAGGATGACATTTTCCTGGTCCTGCGACACTAACCTGTTCTTTCCACAGGAGTTATGAACCATGTAGATAAAAACAGCSGGCCAGATCTCCTCAAAGGGACTGATGTCAAACTGAAACCTGGAGGACGGAGAAAGACGTGAAAGGAAAGTCTTAAAATAGCATCTGTAGCTTTGAAGAAAGAAAAAAGTTAACGAACGAGAGAAAAGCTCACGTTTCTATTTCTTTATAAATGGGTTCAGGGAGGTTGAGCTGGGTAAGAGTCTTCCACTCTTCTGACGTGCAGATGCTGTGATAAGACAGTTTTTCCATCGTCACTCTGTAAATGCATTCAGAGTGCCGGATCCTGTGGTACATCTGCAGGGAAATCATGGTTTTTTTAAATGTCAAGCAGAGAAGAAGCTGACTCCAGTGCTGTAAAGGCAGGTAAAATCGTACAAATCCTTAATGACGGAGTTTCCTTAATGTTTCCCCTCCCCCTTTAAGAAAAAAAACGGCAGTGTGATGGACAGGTACCGACGCCATAAATCACAACCAATAAGGAGGCGGCCCGGGCGAGGTTCCCTGGAGAGGCACGGGGCACGAATCACAGCCCGACATGAACCCGCGCTCGTGTGGTCGCGCACAGTTCGCCTTAAAATATTAACGTTAAATTTGAAAAAGCAACCGGGTGACGCCGCTCGTGCGTAAGTGTGCCGCACAAAGCTGACAGCGAGTCAGGTCTCGCAGCGAGGGGACGCRCTGACAGACAGACCACACAATGCAGCCTTCAGGAGTTTGAAATCATTCAKCAAAAGGGATAATCTGCAGCTTTTGCTCAGGCTTTGTGGAAACGTACGCTCCGAATAGAAACTGTTCTTTAACAAATAAATAAATTACAATACCACATAAYGCAAACAGGATTCCCACACTTTGGTCAACATCAAATTCAAGGACCTTTCAAGGACTTTCCAGTACCAATTTCCTCAAATTCAAGAACCACGCRTGATGCAWTTRCCTACTGCTWCCACAGAATGTTACCAATGAACAGGTTTAAWATCATGCAAATTCAATAAAAACTGAATAACATAGAAGAAAGTGGATTAAATGTACACCCTACATTCATATATATCTACAGTACACGGACATGTAATTATATCCTGGGAGGTTGGGCAGCTCAGTTTGGAAGGAGGGGATGTGAACATGTCCAGACCCTCAGTAATCCTGAGTTATCTTGTGGTGCTTCACCTGGGCTCAG